GTAACGTACGATTCCATATCATTCATCCAGAACTGTACAGCTTCCATCCCTATGGAATGCCGCGTTGTCGCAAAATCCCCGATCATCGCTCGGATTCGATGTCGTGCTGAGGCGTTGCGGAAATCCGGCGAGTTGTTAACGACTACCTAAAGGCCATGAGTACAATGGTCCCATACGGAGAAATCAACCTAAACAGCCATACCTGCAACGTAGCTCCATATTTCCAGAAATAGTTCTGTAGGAGTTTGTAGTGTGGTATGGCATAGGAGTCCTCAACGAGTAGATTGATCGGTTCAAGGCCTTCCTTAAGTGGAAATGTTTCGGTTTGTGTTGAGGATGTTGGCTAAGCTTCATGCGCGGGCGCTGGAGGCGAACCAGCGCGCCGCAACCGCGCGCGTCCAAGACCCGCAGTTCTGAGCACGACTTATGAATTTTTAGGTGCTCATGATGGGAGTATTTCATACATTGCTGTATTTCTCTCAGTATGTGCAATTGGAATAGCGCGTCAATTAGCTAATAATTGAAAATTCTTGGTAACTGAACCTGACCTTAATCTGCGTAACACCGTAATAGGCGAAGAGTAGATAAATTATATACCACATCAGGGCAATGCCCCGAATGACACGATTCATCAGAAGAGGTGCATACCTGAAAAGAACTTCTTCTTTCAAATGACGAATGGAATCTCACAACAGACTTTAGATCCTACCAGTCGCGGAAGAATACTGTAATTCCAGCTTCTTTAATGTCGCTCCCTTTCAGAGGCTCTGGCTTAGATCCAAGATTGAAAATGCGTTGCGACCATGTGGCAATCTAAAGGAACACTTATTGTGACTGTCAGGGGAAGCATTGGGAAGAAAGGACGTGAAAAGCAATTTTCAGCGGTGGCTTCCATTTTAGGAGCCATTCCTCTTCAAGTGTATAAGAGTACAGTAACCAGCATGCACTATTAACCCCTTGTTGCCCCGATGTTCCGAAATCAGGTCAGCTGTTCACTCGCACAGCACAGATTAGGCCAAAATCATGTCGCCGAGGGTAGATTGAACCCTTGAACAGAGCCTTAGCAAAACAACAAGGGATCCCGATCCCGGGGGAAGAATGCAGTCGAGCAGAAGCAGGCCGCGCTGTCACGTGCACCACCTTCCCATATTTAACCCCATTGGAACCTCATGCAGATGTGGTATTAGTTTCCAGTAAGGTTGGCCACTAGGTTACTTTGGCGCCGGTGCCTGTGGCGGGGCAGGTTTCGTGTCACATGCGATTTTCACGTTCAGATTGTCAAGCTACCTCTGAAAGCCAATCCCAAACAGCTAAGTTCTGAGCCGAAAGTGGGGCAGTAAAGGGTAAATAGTGCCTACCGTTCGCGCAGTCTCCAGCAGTCCTTGTACTTGGCCTTGCACCAGCAGTGGGCTTATCCCTCTGAAGCAAAACCCTAGTTTCTGGTAAGGAACAATCAGTTTTGGAGAGCCGTGCACAGATGAAACAACTGCTGGCTGTCCCCTCCAGGTTCGGGCAGAAAAGACTTCTACGACTGTGAATTGGAGTCAAATGTGTGTTTATTCTAATTCGATGAACGGAACTCCGAGCACTTCGGCCTTTCTTCGAATCGCTAAGTATAAGAGATGAGAAAAGGCTCACCTTGATCTCAGACTCTAGAAGCGTTTTCCGCCCACAGACGGTGTTACGCCCATCTTCTTCGAGTTTTGTGAACAGAGCGAGGAGAGCGGCGAAAAATGTGATCTAAAAAATTCTTAAAGAGGACGAGAAGATGAAGTGAAAAAATCGAAAGAAAGAGAAAAAACGCAACTCCTGATTTTTTAGTTCAAGTAAGAGAGAAATAATCAAAGCTCTTTGGATTCCCAAATTCCACGGTAATAATGTGGGTAGCGCCTCGTAATACTACAAGTAACGTTTGTCCCCGCCGCAGGCCGCCCAAAGTAGCATCGCCGCGCGCGACCTGGTGACCAAGTTGCGCGGCAAGTTGAAAACGACCAATTTCCGCGCAATTCTTCAGCGCGACCGGGACAAACAAACGCTGCACAGCTCACCAGGAAAGGTCAACAGGTCAGCCTGGCCATTTGCAATGAGATGCACATCACTGTACTCATCTTGACACGTGAACTCAGAACTGTCTTCAAAATTTGCAGAACGATTCTCTGAGCGGAGTTATGGAGGTTTTTCTTTACTGTTTTTCTTCTTCCGGGCGCGCTGGCGCCGAAGCGTTGGCACATGTAGCGCGACTCACAGCGCTCTTCGCGCAAAACAGGTATCATATTCGTGTTCAGGGTCGAGACGTCACCTTAGCAAAATCTGAGCTTCTGACTCAACTTCGAAAAAAATGGGGTATGGATAGTCATGGCTGACTGATAGCCAACAGCGATACTACGGCTAGCCTACTGGTGACGACTGGTCTTCGAGCTGAAATAACTCTTCAGTCATGTCTTTTCGCAAACAACAGTACCTGGCCTACCTATTTGTGCCGTCTGCATTGCTATCGGGAGGGAATCCCATTCCGAGACCAGATCGATGGTAGGTGATCCAACCTGCTGCTAATTACCCATGGAAATAGCCCACATTTCCAAGTGAGGTCGAAAAATCAGATTCGGCTAGAAACTTGTCCCCAGGGGTAATTTAACCGCTGAACATGAATATGATGGTATTTCATTGCAAAAACCCTTGTGACACGTGTTACGAGGGGTACAAGCAGAAGCACTCTTTCAGGCCACAATGAGTCTACACTTTAAAAAAACTGATCGCAGGTTCCCTTATAAGGGTAGTGCAGGCGAGCGATCTAGAAGCTTCTGTCGGTTATCACAAGAATGCTGAGTTATGGGCAAAAGTCGTGCCCCAGGCGGGAGTCGAACCCGCACCTCACGCTTTCCGGGCGAGTGCGCTATCCGTTACGCCACCAGGGCCTATTTACCCTCTCAGCTTAACGGCTTATGCCGTAGCCTTACACGTTTAACTTGGTGAGCCGGTCAGCCGTAATCGTTAGATATCGGCATGGAACCGCGAGGCCGAAGGCTTTACAAGTTTTTGAAGTCGTTTTCTTCTCAAAAACTTCAAAAATTTGTCGGTTATGTTTTCGGGCAAATGCAAAAAAGGGCCCCGCCCAAGGACCTACGACGTCTTGCCTAAGAAGCCCGCTCCCTATCCGTTGCGCTCTGCTAGAACGTTTCTGACCGGCTCCATGCATAAATGTAAAGACGCTTCCACGTTTCCTCGCGATAGCATGTGAAACGACCGTGCGGGGATAAAACCCTCCATAACTCCGTTCAGAGAATCGTTCTGCAAATTTTGAAGACAGTTCTGAGTTCACCGTCCCAAGACGCGTACAACGGTGTGCAGCTCATTGGAAATGGCCGGGCTGACCTGATGACCTTTCCTGGTCAGATGTTTCACGCTGGTGTTAGCGAATAAGAGCTAAAAAGAACAATTAAACAGAACTAATTTCTATCAGCTGCACGCATTGCTAATACGAGTTTGAAATAATAAAAAAAATAAGAAGTTTTTGTTAAATGTAATAATTGACCGGTCATTCAATTGTTGAGGAAGGAGCGCTCTTGTATGCATGACGGGTGCTCAATCTGTCGATTGCGGTGGCGATCAATACGCCTACGAGGGAAAGGGCGCGAGCAAGCAGTTTGGCGGGCTTTCGGACTATATAAGGATTCGTTGCGAAACTAGTGCAGAGTTTTCTTGTTCTCTTCGGCCGACTACTCCAACAGCGTTGCTCACGCCTTTCCCCATTCTCGATTACTACTTCTGTTCCAGAGCCACGACAACATTCCGGACGTCGCCGCAGTTGAGTGGTTCAGCACCTATTCTTTCTAGCTCATCGTTCGCTCTGCGTGGAGAATTGTTTTCCTCGGGGACAACGACTTGCTCTACTACTGCGTGTGCGCTTAAAGTATTTTGCCCATTCTCCCTTTTTCTCTGTGTACATTTTCGTGAATCTCCAGGAGCTGTTTTTTTTATCTATATTCCTCAGTAGTATTGCGTTGTCGTAATAAATTGTTACCCTGTCGTGGTCGAGTACATTGACGAGTGGTTCGTAACCATCATACTTTTTCACAATATACATAACTCAATAGGAAAACCACACCTGATAAATGAATGCAAAAGAAATAGCCACTCCTGTATAGACGCAGAAGATGTGAACGGCTGGTAATGAAGTGATGGCTCCAACACCAAACGAGAGCGCATCTGAAACGTATCACTGATATCTTGAGGGCTACAGAAATCTTATCGTTTGGCCCTACCCTGATGAGAAAAACACATTAGGCATCATTGGTTATGCATGCAAAAGGCTTAGGTTGCGCCTACACTGTACCTAGACGAGCTGATCTCCACAGAGCCCAGTATCCTGGAGATAGGAATTCGCTTGGCACGGGTTAACGCACAGTGTCAGCTCGATTCAAACATACATTTCGCGATGGTGAGTCATGGGAGGCGAGGAACCCTATGAGTTCACAGGAACTAATTGACCTTCAGGCAAAAGAAAGTATAAACCAGTGGAAGAAAGTCCCGCGGGTGGGCTCAGCCTACGGCTGCTGCTACTTCCCCCCTGAGTGGTACGGTATCAACTGTCGTCACCATAAGCGGTCTAATCTGATCTGTGGAAGGTGTAGCCAGAATTGACTCAAGTGCTCCTAGAGGAGAGGAATCGTAGATTGGGATGGCCAAGAAGATAGTCGGTCCGGGATTTCAACACTCTTGGGCGCATTGTAACCTAGCCACTCCACTCTCCACATTAGTTCCGTCTTCGTGTGCCATAAAGAATAACTAGTGAAGTTTCCCCGTTGACCAATCCCTCTCTGGGATGCGGGTACTTCTATCTAGAATGGTGATGGCTTATCAAACGCGATGTAGCCCATACAATGATGTGCGGGGGCCACCCGATGTGCAAGTTTTTAGCCGAGCATTCTTCCAGACAGATCTGCTACCAACTTACTGTCCCGGAGTCTAGAAGGCTTGGTTGGCCTAAGCGGAAGCCGATCCAAGATCGGACCCCCGGATTCGTGTGCCATACAGGGACTAATAAGTGGCTCTGCGAATGCGGCAGATCTTCGCAAAACGTGGCAACTTTTCTTTTACCTGTACTGGCCGTGATAAGAATGGCCACGGCTGCATCTGACATGCATTCACCCATTCGTTCAGAGACCGGCAAACATCGAGACGTTCGTCGAATTGCCGCAATCATCAGGAACATATTGTCAATACCGACAGCTGAACTCAAATTATCAATTCGCGTGCATTGACCGAAACTGCCTCAAGGCAGCACATCTATCAACTCCTTAAAAAATCATCCAGAAATCAGGGAAAGGTGAACTTACCGACTACCAGGAATGGCATCACCCCAACTATGTCAGGCATTTGCGAAAAGCATAGATGCCAGGCCGAGCTAAGGATTAGCCCAATACGGCATTTATGACACCTGAACATAAGAAAATCCGAGCAGAATGGACGACATTGACGGCCGCTACTCAGAACGGTTAGATCTATAAATACATAATAAAGGTACACAAGTGTGAGGTATTAGGCGCAATATCAATCAACGTAGAGTGTGCGACAGTGCGCGACAAGACACATCTACGACGGTAGTATGCGTGGACATAGGATGGGACTCGTTCATACTTCGCGGCGGCGTCCACCAGCGATCACCAGCGACTATCGACGTTTCGAGCGGCCGTCAGCGCGACTTGGATAGTATAGATATCGATCTAGCAAAGGGCAGCGTCTACCAGCGTCTGCCAGCGATCATCATCGTCTCGAAGGACTAGGAGAGTATGGATATCGATGCAGCGTCCACCAGCGATCACCAGCGACAATCGTTCGTTTCGAGCGGCCGTCAGCACGACTTGGCGAAGATACTCCTAGCAAAGCGGCCAGCGTCTACCAGCGTCTGCAGCGTATCATGTCATGTCGCGAAGACTTCAGGAGAGTAGAGATATCGAGTGCAGGGGTCACAGTTGAATCACCAGCCGACAAGTCGTCGTTCCGAGCGGCCGTCAGCGCGACTTGGATAGTCATAAGATGATATCGATCTAGCAAAGGGCAGCGTCTACCAGCGTCTGCCAGCGATCATCATCGTCTCGAAGGACTAGGAGAGTATGGATATCGATGCAGCGTCTACCAGCGTCCGCCAGCGACCGTCAGCGTTTCGAGAGACTATGGAAATATGGGTATCAATCTGGTGTCTACTAGCGTTCAGCAGCGGCCAGGAGCAGAGCGTATGGGGAAGTAGGATTGCAGCAGACTGCTGGAAGAGTGTTGGGGAGTAGGAGGGAGCAGACAGCTGGATCAGGCGTCCCGAAATTGCAACTGCACCGTTCTACTGCACAGTACCGTACTTTTGGTCGCTGGTGGACGCTGGTAGACCCTGGTAGACGCTAGATCGATATCCATACTTTCCTGAATCAGCCTAATCCAGCTGTTTGCTCCCTCCTACTTCCCCACACTCTACCAGCAGTCTGCTACCCTCCTACTTCCCCATACTCTCTACTCCTGGTCGCTGGTGGACGCTGGTAGACGCTAGATCGATATCCATACTTTCTAGTCCCTCGAGACGCTGATGGTCGCTGGCGGACGCTGGTAGACGCTGTCTAATAGATCGATATCTATATCTATACTTTCCTGATCGCTGACGCTGACGGACGCTCGAAACGCTGGTGGTCGCTGGTGGACGCTCGTGGGCTGGTGGACGCTGCCGCAAAGTATGAACAGCCTAAGGAGATCGCAGCTTTGACGATGCATTGGTAGGGAAACATCAACGAAACTCCTAAGGAATCATACTTACCTAAAATAGCTAAGATTGGCTTACTGAGACACCAATCAATATAGTATGTCTTGTCGATTAAAGCTATTGAGCAAACCATTGAAAACACGACCAAAAGAATAAAGGCTAAGATAAAACGAGGCACTGAAAAAATATCGATTATATAATATTTGCGAGCTAATTTCTGGAAAAATAAGCTCCACAAAATGGTACTAACATAGTGAGTCAGCATTCCT